TGTGTGTACTGTCAAATCGGATCTGACAGGTACAGGAGGAGATTGCCCCTCCTTCTCCAGCAAAGCATCTGGTGGATTTGAAGCACGTATCTCTGGGATTGCAGTGCAGCTTCTTGCCACTGAGCCACCAGAGCGCTCTCTCTCTAATTGCTTGCTATGTGCCTGAGACCTGGACAATGAGTAGGGATGATAGAAAGACAATTGATGCCTTTGAGCTGTGGTGCTAGAGAAGAGTGTTGAATATACCATGGACTGCTAGGAAAACAAACAGGTTCATCCTAGAGAGGGTGAAACCAGGCTGCTCCTTGGAGGCAAGGATTCTGACATATTTTGGGCATGTTCCAAGGAGGGACCAGTCCTTGGAGAGGGACATCATGCTTGGAAGAGTGGAGGGGCAGAGAAAGAGAGGAAGACCATCGATGAGATAGATTGATTCAGTGACTGGGGTAATGAGGGTAGATGTATCAGAGACGGTAAAGTTGGTACAGGATAGAGCAGGTTCCAAGGCTATTGTACATAGGGTCGCTCTGAGTTGCAAGAGACTCGACAACACATAACAACAACAACATTAGATTGCTTACAAAGTTTGTATACATCGTGTTTCATGCTATTCTTCATTCACATTGTGTTTCAATCATTCCCAGGCACTATGTTCTATAAAATTAATCAACATTGGATCTTGCTCATCATTACTCTGTCTTTTCAGGTCCCCGTCATATTCTTCCCATTTCCTTCACCACCTTCCTACATCTATCAAATCATGGAATCCTGTGGCTTTGCCCCTACCTGTTCTGCTCCCACCCCTGTGTTTAACTAATTATCCTTCTATTTTAAAAAATAATGGTCTCATGCAGTGTTATGTGTCCTTATAAGACTGTGTTAGTTCACTCAGCATAATGTCTCCAGTCTCTCCCAAGTTATGCAGTATTTTTCAAAATTGTTGCTCCTGAGTGCTGTGTAGAATTAACCACAATATCTCAATCCTTTCAGTGTGGTGGATATTTGAGCTGTTTCTGTTCTTGAGATGGTGAACAATGCTGCTATGAACACTGGTGTGCAAATTTCCATTTGTATCTCAGTTCTTGTTTCTTTGAGGTATATTCTTAGTAGTGGAATAGCTGAATCATACAGAGTTCCTATTTTCATCTTTTTGAGGAAATGTCAAACTGCCTTCCAGAGTGGTTGCACCATTTTACAATACCACCAACAGAGTATGAGAGTTCCCACTTCACTTCCTTTCTAAAATTTATTGCTTGCCACCCTGCTAAACTTTTCCACTGCTACTGGGGTGAGATAGTATCTCATTGTAGTTTTGATTTTCATCTCACTTATTGTCAGTGATTTTGGGCATTTCTTCATGTATCTGTTGGCCATCCGAATATCTTTCTCTGTGAAAATTCTTTCCATGTCTTTTGCCTATTTTGTAATTGGGTTATCAGTCTTTTTTCTTCTGGGGGCTCAGTAGTATTCTGTTTTTGAACAACAGTGATTAAATGCCACAAAGTAGGTGGCAATACCGTAACCGTATGTAAGCAGGGCTCTCCCATCCTTGTCAAGGTGTGTGCTAAACTTTTCTCCTTTCATACAACACTGTCCATCTTCTTTTAATACTTCCTAGATCATTCAATATTCTGGTCCTAACATCCTTAAGTATTTCAACTGGAGGCTTGAATTTGTTCATTTCCTTCAGCTTAAGAAATGCTGAGGAAATTCAGCCCTTTTAATTTCCTGACTCCAGCTCTTTGGATATTTGATTATATTTTGCTTTGTCTTCCCAAGCTGCCCTTTGTAATCTTCTGTTTAGCTCCTTAATTTCCTGCTTTATTCCCTTTGTCTTGGCTTCTCAGGGCTCTAATGCAATATTCAGACTCTCTTCTGACATTATGTCTTTTCTTCCATCTCCGTGTTTGTAATGACTTTTTGTGTCAGAGATGCATGCAAAACAGATCATTTGGGAGGCTGGACTTTTATGAGGAGGAGTGTGGCATCAGGATTGGAGGAAGACTCAGCAACCTGTGCTATGCAGATGACACTTTGCTTGTCAAGACTGAGGAGGACCTGAAGTGTTTGCTGCAGGTCAAGAACTGTAGTCTTCAATATGGATTGAAGTTCAACTTCAAGAAAACAAAATTTCTCACCACTGGGCCAATTGGCAGCATCATGATAGATGGAGAAGAGATTGAGATTATTAACAATTTCAGCTTGCTTGGTTCCACAATCAATACTCTTGGCACTAACATTCAGGAAATGAAAGATGAATGCACTGGGGAATTCTGTGGTCAGGAATCTTTCTAGAGTGCTGAAGAGCAAGGATGTCTGCCTGGAGACTAAGTATACCTTATCTGGGACATGATCTTTGCAATTGCTACGCATCAGAAAGTTAAACAATGACGACAGATAACAGAAGAATCAATGCCTTTGGGTTGTACTGGAGAAGAATGTTGGTCATAACATGGACTGCCTGGAAAGGATAAAACCAAAATCCTAGCATTTTGAAGCTCTGTCTCACATACTTTGGGCATGTTACCAGGAGGGACTGGTCCTTGGAGAAGAACATCATGCTTGGACGGGTGGAGGGACAGTGCAGGAGAGGAAGACCCTGGAGGAGTTAGATTGACTCAATGACTGGAGTAATGCAAGCAGGTGTCAGAGACAATGAGATTGGTTCAGGATAGGGCAGGGTTCCAAGCTATTGTGCAGAGGGTCGCTATGATTCACCAGTGACTCGATGGCACATAACAACCACTACCCCCAGATCTTGAACCAGACCAGGTTTATCCCTCCCCAGGAAATGTAAACAACACCAGACATGGTTTGGCTTGAGAAATCATTGAATATATTAAATCCACCAATCATAGCAAAATTAGAGCTACATAAAAATGTCTTCACAAAAAAATTCTATCCCCAATATACAAGGTGGCCCTTTAGAAGCCTGAGGGATGCTACAGTGGCTGAGTGTGAGAACAGTGGGATGAGGAGGGAATGAGAAACAAACCCTGACTAGAGGGAGTTCCCTCTGGGTTAGGCTGTGGCCCCACCCTACACACACTGGGGCTCAGCAGCCAGCCTCTCAAGGGCTGTCTCCTCCATTCTAGCCTCAGTGGGCTGAGTACTGTCCCCTACCATCAGCTCCCACTCCACTACTACCTCGGGATCAGCAAAGGCACACTAGAGTCTGAGGGTCCAGAAAGGCCCCTCTCTAAGACTTCCCAGTTGCAGAGGTTAGCCACTGCCTGGACTCCTAGGCCAACAACTCAGAGAAGGTGCTCTAAGAGCTAGGCATGGTCTGTAGGGCCATATCCTCTGGCAGCATCCCTCACTCCTGGAGGGTTTCTACCCTAGGCCCCTATAAGAGGTTCATCATATGGTGGCCAACCCTTGGATCTGTAGGGACCTTGACACTTCTAAGGTAATGATGGCAGAAGGAGTGGGCATTTCGGTGGCCTGCTTCCCTCAGTAGGGAATACTCTGGGTCCAAAGTCACACAAACAGGGCAAAAGTAGAACTCTCCCCATTTCTAAAGCCACTTTCAGTTTCTGCTGGTTCTAGTTCCAGTGGTCACTGGTCTGCCCAGTGGCAGGGGAATTGAGTCTGCGGCACCCAGGAGGCCACCAGTCTGGGAGTGTGGTGGTCCTCTGTCCAGAGGACAGAGACAGAAAGCTGCTCAGGATACTTTATTCATTTGGAAATCGAGGGGGATCGGGTCCTCTCCCATCTGGCCTGCCTGCTGTCACGTCACGGCGTACAGCTCCTCTCGGTCACTCCTGCAGATCTGGTAATGACAGGGCAACCTCTGTACGCAGGCCAGGGGCTCCGTGTGCTCATCAGCCGGGGGCAGCAGGAAGGCTGCGCTCCCAGCCACCAGCATGTGCCAGATGCTGTGGGTGTAGTAGTAGTTGTCCATGGTCATCATGAAGATGTAGATGGTCATGGCCATGGCCGCCAAGGAGATGCCAGGCAGCAGGAAGAATGTCCAGCGTTGCCAGGAGGAGGGGTAGCAGTGGCGGCGGTGCCCACAACGGTACACCTGAGGAAAAGGAGCAGTCGAGTTGGGGCAGGCAAGGCAAGACGGGCAGTGGAAATGTGATCAAGACAGTGGGCTGGGAGAGGGTGTGGGAGCTCAAAGGCATGAGAATCCAGGGCTGCTAAATATAGGCTAAGTTAGCACTGGATGGTGGTAGGGGATTAGGGCCCAATCAGAATGTTCAGAGCAAGGGATTGCCTTCTTTTCTAGCAGAATGGGAGTCTAGCCCTGTGACCTCTGGGGAGGGAGGTGATATGTTGGAAAGGTGTGGCTGGCACACCCATCTACCTGGACCTTACCCACATGGAGACCATGATCACAAAGGCGAAAAGGCAGGGCCCCAACATGTTCCAGGCACCCCTGCGGTCCAGCTGCAGGGACATGGCAATGACCAGGGTGCCCAGGAGAAACAGGACCTGTGGATAGAAAGGGCAGGCCAAGCTCAAGAGGTGAGGGACCAGGGGGTCTGGGCAGTGGTGTCCCAACTGGCTTTCACCAATGTCTCTATTCCCACCTCCCATACTGCTGGGCCCTGGCACCTCTACTGACCCAACCCCAGCTTTGAAAAGGGGCCAAGACTTGCTAGCCAGGCTGGGCACCCACAGAGTTGCTTCACATGGTGTCTCCCTGCCCAGGCTTTGCATCACAAGGCCTCAACTACCAATAGAGAGGCCTCAGTTTCCCCCAGCTGCTCCCTGAGACTAGATTCAATTATGGATTTCATTGTTTTTTTGTTTTGTTTTGTTTTAAAAAGTGTTGTAAGCGCTAAACCCATATATCTGCTGGTGCAGATCCATTTGCAGCAAGCCTGCTTTTGCTATGTTAATGAGATAGTTCACTATTGTCAAGTGCCATCAGCTCCAACTCACAGACCCCCATGTACAACACAGTGAAACCCTGCCTGATGCTGCGCCATCATCCCAATCTATGCTGTGCTCTGCTCAAACCCACTATTGATGCTGCTGTGTCAACCTATCTCCTTGTCAATCCACTCCATCTGTGAGGAAGACTCACAATGAGATGACTGACCCAGTGACTACAGCCATGAGCTTGAGGATGGCGGAAACTTTGAGAGGTTTTGAGATGTTGCTCCTAGGGTCTCTATAAGTAGACTGAATGGCACAAGACTGTAATTAACAGATACTTAAAATGCAGTTTTTACAATGGGTAGTAAGTAGAATCTGGATTAATTTTATGTGCTTCATGAGTGGGCCCTAGAAACTTGCAGAAAGTCTTGTTAGTATTATGAGCACCAAAGATGATTTTGATGAGAGTTGTGAAGAGAGCCTCTGTTATAAACAGAATGTGGCTAGAAACGTGGCCCTGAAATGGGACCTGACTGAACTCGTGATGAGGGACATGTGATTGGACGTTGGCAGGAAGGTGAAGCTTTCCATGAAGTGGCAAAGACCTTGTCTATATTCTCTTCATATGCTGGTGGAAGGTAGATACAGAAAGTGATGAATCTGGATGTTTGACAGAGAAATTTCCAAGCAAGATTTCTCCTCGCCACTTAAAGTCATATTTGAGAGGAACTTAAGAACGAACAGTTCAAGGGAGCTCTGGTGGCCTGGTGGCAAGAAGCTGCAGTGCAATCTGAAGGTGTGCGGTTCGAATCCACCACATGCTCTGTTGGAGAAGGAGGGGCAATCACCTCCTGTGCTAGGTGGATCGGATTTGATGGTACACAACAAGAAAAATAAATAAATAAAAAGAGCAGTTAAAACTGAAGCTGGAGGGGAGCTCTGGTGGCCTAGTGGTATGGAGTGGCAACTACAATCCCAGAGGCGCATGGTTCGAATCCACCAGATGCTCTGCCGGGGAAGGAGGGACAATCTCCTCCTGTACCAGTCAGATCTGATTTGACGGTACACGCACACAAAAATAATAAAATTTAAAAAAAAAAACAACCCTGAAGCTGGAATAAAAAAAAATTAGAAAGTTTCTCTTGTACAAACTGAGGACTCTATGTTCTAGAACTCTCCCCAAGGCCAAGGCCACCCAATCTTTTGTTGAAGAGATTAAGCCTGCGACTGATGGGTCTAACTCAAGTCTCTAAATTAAAATCTCATCAATTTAGGTTTAGGGAGAGAGAATGCAGAACTTGGCCTGGAATTCTATAGACTAGAAGCAGATCAGTGGAGGGACCTCGTTCTAGACATCTTGTTTGCCAAGAAAAGAAAGACACCTGCTCAGAACGGAAAATAGAGCAACAGCTGGAAAGTCCACGATGTATATAGGTCTGCTTTAATTCAAAGGATTCAACAGCTGCCTCAGTTTGAAAGAAGCAGCCCTGGTGGCACTGTGGATTAGTCCTTTGCCCCCAACCTCAAAGTTCCTCAGTTCAGACCCACCAATCACCCTTTCAGAGAAAGATGAAGCAGTCTGTCTGCTCCTGTAAAGATTTTCAGCATTGACCAGACTGAGATACAATCCTGCTCTGATCACTACCGAGTCAGAACCAAATCATAGCTTGACCCTCCCCACCTCCCACCCCCCAGCAGGTTTGCAGAGTCTGTAAGTAGCACAAAAAATGTCCACTTTTCTCCTAAGTAGCCGTTGGTTAGATTCAAACCACAGAGATGGTACCTTTGGATTAGTAGCACAACTTCCTACAAACTATGCCACCAGAGTTCCCGACAGGGTCAAACTGAGTTGCAGCAGTTGGTGGACAGTGGACCTATTTAAAAGGTTTAAAAAACACCTGCTTGGTGACACAGTCAGATCGCTACCTGTTGAGTTTCAGAGTGTGGGGCTCCCATTCAGGAGGCACAAGGGGATGAGGGCTTTGCCCAAAGCACATGGGATAGGGTTGCTACGCCAAGAAACAAGAGACCAGAAGATACCAAGACCAAGGGTTAGGCTCATCGTTCAGACTAAGAGAATCCTGTCATTGGTTGTGACTCATAGCAACCCTGTATACAACAGAATGAAATCCTGCTTAGTCCTGCGCTTGGAGAATGGACCTACCCAAAGCTGAGGGAACAGAACTGCTGGCCCAATGGGATCTCAGAAAGGATCCAGAAGAGCACAGCTAACACCCAGGATCTGGAGAACAGTACCATTGCTTTAGAAGGGCTCAAATAAGAAAGAATGAAGCCTTGGGAGCTACTGTACATTGTTCTGAAGGGCCGGGGACGTGCTTAGTGCCTGTTCCTGGCGTCTCCAGTTTCCCTGGCATCTATCCTGCTCCATCACTGCCCTTGGGAAGCACAGACCTTATATTCTGGATTTCACAGGTACAGAAAGAGAAAGGAAATTTTGCTCCAAGATGGAATATGTTCTAATTAGATGATTCAGAAGGTGAGATCCAAGACTTGCAGTTAACTTAAGACTTGAGGTGCTCCAACGGAGTGAATGGGTTTTGTATGTGCTAAGAGAAAGAATTTTGGGAAGAAGTGAAGCTGGGGTGCTCCTTAGAACAAGGAAGGTAAGATTATCTGCTTCTGTGAAGATTTACAGTCTTGGAAACCCAGTTCTACTCTAGCCTACAGAGTTGCTGTGAGTTGGAAGCCACTCCATAACAGTGCATTTAATTCCTACAGCTCTAAATGCAGAGATGTAATCCATTAGCGAGTAGGCCTTTGTTATGTTACTATGACCTATCTGTGTATGTTGTGGTTGACTGCCATCGAGTGGAGCATGACTCATAGCGACCCTATGAACACAAGGCCTCGGACCTTTCTATAACTATTGACATTTATCAAAGTTCATAGAGTTTCCAGAGGCATGTTGTTTAGGAAGTGGATTCCACTCCTGCTCCTGTGTATGGTAAGTCTTAAACCAATCACCTTGGAGCTTTATAAAGGGCTGGTCAGGCGTAGAGCAATGGATGAATCACTGGGCTGCTAACTGAAAGGTCAGTGGTTTAAATCCACCAGCCACTCCTTGGGAGAAGAGATGATGACTATGTTTGTTGTTGTTGTTTAATGCCGTCGAGTCATAGACGACTCATAGGGACCCTATGAACGAACAGCCTGAGCACTGTTCGTACACAGAGTTTCCAGAGGCAAGTCATTTCGGAAATGGATGCCACTCCTGCTTCCAGGCTTGATTTAGTCGGGAAGCTCCAACCAACACTGTCCACCATGGGTGCCCATTACCATGATTGGCACATCACTGTCACAGACTTCAGCATCACAGCAACCAAGAGTTACCTCTGTACAGCAACGCACAGACCAGTGCTATACCACCTAGAAGATGTTTGACAGGAAGACAATTTGAACCTGGCCGAGGGCCACAGATGACAATCACCCACCTTTGGGTTGGCTGCACAGCTTCCTTCCACTAGGTCAACATAGCACTCTCTTGGTCGTCGTCATTGTTATTGTTGTTTAATGCCGTCGAGTCGTAGACGACTCATAGCGACCCTATGAACGAACAGCCTGAGCACTGTTTGTACATAAGAGTTTCCAGATGACTATGAGCTTTTGTAAATATTTACTATCTTAGAAACACTGTGATATAAATGATTCAAGGGCTGTGGGTTTTAGACACAAAGATGCATATCTTATCACACATATGTCATTGCCCATGGCTGGTTACTTCCCTCATTCTTAATGCTAATGTCTTTCAACACTCACCCCAAAGCACCCTCCTCTTGTTGTTGTTAGGTGTCACTGAGTTGAGTATGATTCATAGGACCCTATGAACAACAGATCTGAACTCTGCCCTATCCTGTGCCATCCTCATCATCTCTGACATACTCAAGCCCATTGCTGAAGTCATTGTGTCAATCCATCTGGCTGAAGGTCTTCCTCTCTTCCGCTGTCCCTCCATCTTTCAAAGCATGATGTCCCTCTCCGAGAAATGCCTTCTCCTAGCAATATGTCCAAAGTATGTGAGAAAAAGCTTCATTACTTTTGCCTCCAAGAAGCAGTCCAGCTGTATCTTCTCCAAGACATATCTATTTGTTCTTTTGGCAGTACATGGGGTATTCAGTATTCTTCTCCAACACCATAGGTCAAAGGTACCTAGTCTTCTGTTGTTGTCTAGCTCTCAGCAGAATAGCAAGTGATTGAAAACACTATGGTCTGAATCAGATGCACCTTAGTCCTTAAACTGACATCATTGCTCTCCAGTAATTTAGAGAGACCCCTGACTGCAGATTTTCCCAGTGCAATAAACATCCTGAGTTCCTAACAGCTGGTACCATGTGTGTTGACTGTGGATCCAAGTAAGGTTAAGTCATTTCAAGTTTCAATCTTTTCTCCATCTAACATGATGTTGCCAAACAGTCCAGTGGTGATAATTTTTTTCCCCTTGACATTGAGATGATTCCTATTGAAGGTTGCAGTGGGTTTTTTGTTGTGTTTTCTTTCTTCTTTCTTTTTTGGGATCCAGGCACCACATCAGAGGAGGCAAAGGAGGAAGTAGAGGCGGAGGTGGCAGCTGAGGTGCTGGTGCTGCATCCAGGATGGGTTGCATGCAGTGTTTGATCTTCGCAGCAAATGTTTCAAGTCCTCCTCACTTTCAGAATACAATGCTATGTCATCTGCATAACGCAGGTAATTGAAGAATCTTTCTCTAATCCTGATGCCACATTCTTATTCATAGAGTCTAGCTTCTCAAATTATTTGCTCATCACAGACTGAATAGGTATGGAAAAAGGATAGAAGCCTGACACATGCCTTTCTTAATTTTAAACCTTAATTTTAATGAATTTTAAATCTTAATTTTAATGAATGTATCTTAATTTTAGTGTTCCCTTGATTGGTTCATGCAATAGCCTCTTGGTTTAGGTTTAGATTTCATATGAACACAATTAAGTGCTCTGGGTGCTCTGGGATTCTCATCCTTCTCAATGTCAGTCATGATTTGTTATGATCCATATGTTGTTGTTGTTGTTATGTGCCGTCGAGTTGCCTGAAACTCATAGCGACCCTATTTACAACAGCCCTAAACTCCGATCTGTCCTGTGCCAATCACACTGTCTCTGACACTCCCATCCCAGTTATCCCAGTCACTGAATCAGTCC